CTGACATCAGTTTTGTCTCCTCTGTTCTTTGATGTGTCAACCTCTCATTCATCCCTTTGTAGGATTCACATTAGAGAACAATGAATTTTTTTCTTTGTGAGATTTCTTTCTCAGTCCCTTTTTAATAAAAAAACCTACTCTCTTGTTATAATATGCAGTGAGCCGGAGTCAGATCCAGTTTCTGTCGGAGGCCCAGGATGATCCCCAGAGGAGGCGACCCGACATCCGCAAAGCCAAGATGATGCTTGGCTGGGAGCCTGTGGTATGTGTGCTGCACGACATTCAGTAACATGAGCTGTTGGCGTTCACTCATTTAAAAAGAAATGGCCTCAACCCTCATATGTTTTCACCAATGAAACACAAAAATTAGGGCTGTCGAGGAAGAACATTTGGGATTTCTCTTACACTATGATAAAACATCATCTATATAGAGCCTGTGAACCTTCAGTATGTGCATATGGTTGGTCAGAATCGGCAGATAATATATTATGTATCACAAAGAGAATAAATTGGTGAAGCTTTGATTTGATGAGCCTTTATGACAGATTTTTTTTTAAATATAAATGTATCTGTGTATTTGAGTGAGAGCAGTCTATTACACAGCTCTGCAGCCAAAAAGGAATTAGAGATTTCATTTGAAACCATCTATTAATGTACATATAGTGGCATCATTGGCATTTACCCTTTTTGACCGGTGGGAGCGATGGTGCTGGAATTAAATATTCTACTCACATTAAATATCAGAGCACTGTTTTTCTCCATAAAATGTTGAAATTTTTATTTAGCCTAAATATATTAAAAATGTAAAAAAAAAAATAGTAATAATAACATTATAATCTAGACTGCTTTGTACTTTCTACATTTCAATATATGTGATGTAATTGGTGGGTTAAAGGGCAGATTAGACTTCTACAACCGACACATCAAATGTCGCTTGGGTCTGGTCGTGAACCAGTTTTGCTGGTGTGCTTCTGCACCGTCAGTCTGGAATTCCTAGGGACGCACAGCAGTTTTTTGCCAAAGCACAAGGGGGAGCCTATTCGACAACTCGCAAGAACTTTGCCGGTTGGTCACTAGAACTTGGGCGTAGCCGGCAGGATTGTTTATCTTACAAGACAACAATGTCGCGTCTGCAAGGTATCACGGTGACAGAGATGGATCTAGAGTTGCTAGACATCGAAGAGGAGCAGGTTCTGTTATTGGAGTTGGCATAAAGATTGTCCATTGTAGTTGTTCCTCGGTTTTTAAAAATGGCACGCCCCAGGACCGAATAGATAAGGACGACCACACAGACAGCCTGAAAGGAATACCAAGGACCAATCACAGCTGCTTTTTTTCTGCGCACTTCCGCTTGAGGTATGTGCGGATTTGCGACTGACTGGCGCGTAATCAGGATTTTTTTTTAAGGTGCACGACGACGGTTGCAGAACCTCTGCGCGGGAGGCGTGGTCATGCACAGAGACAGATTTGACGGTTGCATCGACTATGTGTCAGAAGCATAAATTGTCCTTAACGCATCACGTGGTTTGCTCACCCGCCTCTGACAAGGAAACAACCGGAAGTGATAGTCATTTTTTCCCAGGAGTTGACGTTTTTTTCTGCAGTAAACGGCTCTTTTTGCCTCACTCCCACTTCCTGTTTTCACCCCTTTGAATCTTTTACTCTACCTGGTGTTTTAGTATTTTCAGTTTCTATTCAAACACATGCATCGACACACCAGACATGGAAGAGGAATAGAATTCAACTTTATTGTGTTCACATTGTCACAGTACAAAGCAACGAAATTCAACTCTCTGCATTTAACCCATCCCCTTGGGGAGCAGTGGGCTGCTATTGTGCGGTTCCCAGGGACCAGGGTAGATTAAAGGTCTTGCTCAGGGACCTGCTCAGGCAAACAATTGTAGATTCACAATGAAAACACATGTGGAGTTATATACTTAACACAAAAGTGCAAAACAACTGAAAATATGTTTTATATTCTAGGTTTTTCAAAGTAGCCACCTTTTCTTCTATTACTGCATCGCACACTCTTGGAATTTCCTTTATGAGCTGGTGTGTCCAAACTTTTTTAGTATATAATTCCACATGTGTTAATTCATAGTTTTGATGCCTTCAGTGTGAATATTCAATTTTCCTAATCTCTTTAAATGAGAAGGTGTGTCCAGACTTTTGGTCTGTACTCTATATGTGGAAAAACTGTTTTCCTTTTTCTGTTTTATTCTGCTTCAAGAAATTACTCTACAGCATGAAGAAAAGTAAATATGCCCCGGCGAATTTGATCTAAGCAGGTCATAAACGGTTAACAGTAGTGTTTGTATTCCCTGTAAAGTTACCTTTACTGTGAGACTTCCCCTAAAATACCAAACTTTTTAAAGCAGTTTTCATGTCAGATTCTTTCCTATCTGCTAAAGAACAATGATGTTAGTTTGTTGTAAAGAATCTAAAATTTATTATCTACAAGCTCCAGTGAGCTTTTTGTTCTTTGACTTTTTAAACACCTATTGAATGATGTTAAAAACAGCTAACATTGAATCGTCGACTCCAGGGGACAACTTGTTAAACCAAGCGTCTGACTCCAATCATCAAGACAGTTTCTCTGTAAATCTCTCACCTCCTCGTACAAATTTCACGGCAGTTTAAATGTGTGTGACTGCTGCAGTGCATTGGTGTACCAAGGAAGGACACGTACCTTTTTAAGATTGGAGTGGTTGTTAATGGCATAAAAGAACTGGACAGCCAGTGTCTGTTTCATCATAAAGGGAAGTTAAGCCATCTATTTGGAGGAAGCTTACAGTTTTTCCTCATCAGATGGTTATCAATTTTTTTTATAAATTCATATGATGTGAATTTCTGGAATTTTCTTTGGGATTCTGTCTCTCACTGTTAGAATGTACATATCATTAAAATTGTAGATTGTTTTATTCTTTTTAAGTGGGCAAACCTGCAAAATCAGCAAGGGGTCAAATACTTATTTCCCCCACTGTAGCTCTGCTGCCTGTACTGCCTGATAAACATCCCTCCAGGTGAATACGTAGGTCTGCTAATCAAGTTGTAGCCTGTTGTCTCGGATTTGTCTGGCTGTACACGTCAGAGGAGAAACCACGACTCAGTGATGATTATAACAGATTGTCCATCATAAAATGGTACAAGTCTAATTTTAGCATTCAGTTGAGTATTTTAACCATTAAAACTTGGTATTTACAACTCTTAAGAACAGTTTTTATTATGGTAATGATGTTTTTACATCTTGTTTTGTGTAACAGGTGCCGCTGGAGGAGGGCTTGAACAAAACTATCCAGTATTTCAGCAGAGAACTAGAACACCAGGCCAACAACCAGTACATCCCCAAACCTAAAGCTGCCCGCATGAAGAAAGGAAGACCCAGACACAACTGAGAGGCAGAAGTCTGCTCTGCTGTACATTCTTCTACCTTTAGAGACTCCCCTGGGGAGCTTCTCTTTGGCGTACCCTGCTGAGTAGAGCACCTTTTTGGAAGTGTCCTTTCTCCTTTTACGGACACGAAGATGGCTTTCTCTCCGAGTTCCCTTTTTAAGGCTGTTGATACCTTGTGTCTGTGCGGCGGATGTGATTCAGTGAGATTTCACTCACTGAGGCTTTCACAACCGATGGACCGGCCTGATCAAGAAGGCAACATGTTGGAGCAAAGCATTTAAAATACAGCCTGTTGTTGTTTCTGTTTATTTTTATGGGGTTGTGATGTTTTTGCTATTTAATGCACTGCGATGAGAATCCTTCAAGCAGACCAAGCCATGAAGAAAGTATTGGTGTTCATGGGTTTCTTGGTGTTGTACGTGCGGATGGGACTTGCCTGAGTTTTTTTTTTCTTCCTCTGGACATCTCATTGTGTCCATCTGCCAGGCCTGCAGTGCACAGCAGGTTTGGGACAAATCCTCCAGCTCAACTGTTTACGGCGCCATTATTGTTTTTAAAGATATCGTGTTTGTGAAATGTTCCTGTCAGGGCGTGCCGTATCGTATTGATGTGAAGATGCTATTTTAATAAACTATTTCCAGTAGTTTGCCTGTTTTGTTGGCAATGTTCAAAGGTCCTGAACAAATTTCTGGATGAGAACAAATACCCAGAATATCTACTGATAAGAAATCATCCAACAGGTTAAATCATTATTTTATTTTATATATTCAGATGTTAGTTGACAGTTGGTGTAATGAGCCATGGATGCAATTGTGGGGGGGATTTTCCTCCATGTAATGGGCACTTAGTTATTTCCACTTGACCAACTTAAGTATCTCAACAAATAAAGTGCCTAAATTTAGATACATGAACTAGAATAAATAAACTGAACTTAGAACACTTGTATCAAAACAGCTGAAATAATAGATACCCAGAAATGGGTGGAATTTAGGGTGAAACATCCCCCGTTTCTTTCGCCTAAATTCTTATCCCCTCTTACTTTGTCTACTTTTCTGTCTCTTTGTCTGTTGCATCTGATTGAATTCCCTTAACTATTTATAATAAAGTTTCATACATAATTACTTAGCTGAACCTTCCAGCAGCAAACTAAATGCCAAATCTGTTGGGCTATTATCTATATCCAGGACATAAATTCCAAAAGCTATATTGGCAAAACAAGACACAGACAAATAAAAGAAAGGAATATATAGACTTTTATTTGGACTTCAACCCCTTGAAACTTTTTATATTTTATCTTATTAAAGTAATAAAACAATATATATATTTTATTGTAAAACAATGGAAAGAAAAGGGAAGCATTAACTCCAGAGGAAAAAATATATATATATATGGATTAAAATGTAAGCTGTGAATGACCTACATGTCAACTGTAAAAGCTCTGAATAGGATCCAGTGGCTTCAAAAAGCCAGTAAAAATGAAGATAAGCAGTTTTCCAAAGGCCTCACAGGTTTTTTTAGTGAACAAATTACTTATAGAGGACCAATCAACACACATTAAGAAAAACTTCTGATGCGTTTCAACTTAAAAAGTTAGAGCTAGTTCTATGATCACCCCTACATGTAGAGTAAGCCACCAAAAATCATTGCTAAACCACTGTACTTTAAGGACTGTTTTATTCTGATAGGTTTGTCCTCAAGTTTGAAGGGAATTAAGTTAGCTGAATAGTTAGAAAGCAGAAAGACAGACTTTAATTGATGGATGAAACTGAGATAAATTGACAGGATTCCCTTGACGAAGTTGTCAGGCATGAAATCTATCACCATTCATTACCTTCCTACAACATGGAGTGTGTGTGGGCGGCGTTAATAGTAGTCATAGTTGACATCTGCCCCATGCCTGTAAGAAGACCGCGGGCCGATGGGGGAGTTTTCATCATAGTGATGCTGACGGCCCTGGTCATGGGATCGGGCGTAGTCCATCCAGTACTGCAGGTCAGCCTCCAGCCTCTGGTGAGAAAACGATCCAACAGGATGGCATATAAGGGGGAACTCGTAGCAGACAAAACCAGCAACTGATAAGACATCGGCTGTGACTGTCAGGAGGCACCGTTTCCACAAATTAACACGTATAAAAAATAAAAAATCTTGAAAAGGCCAGTCATTAGACAGCTTTGGCCTTTCTAGGAAGCGTCAACAAATGGCACATACACAAGGTGTCATCTATATTGAGTGTAGGAGAAACGCTGCTGTGGCTGATTGTAACATGCTGTCAGCTGCTGGAAACAGACACAGCGGGGTGTTATTTTCAGCACTAGCTTTTCGCTCCTTTTTCTCTCTGTTCCTCACTATCCCCTGTGGAATCATGGCGGTCAATGACCTGAAAGAAATCTACATCAGTAAGCGGTCTTAAATTTCTCTGTAGGAAACATTCCATGCTTTTCTATGGTCTGAATTACAACTAATTATCATTTATTCCCTTAGAACGTGCGCAGGTTGAAGTGCCGCGTCTTTTAGAGGGGACTGATAACATTTTATTTTGAATTACTGTCAGCTTTTATATTTCTACTTCCCTGTCTTTTAATTTTTGTACATATGCCTTCTTGTTTGTCACATTTTAAAGTTTTCCTAAAGCAAAAACTACTTTGCTGCAAACTCCTAATACCTTGGTCAGTCTGACTCTAGTGTCAACACTAAACATTGGGAGGAAAAACCTTTAACCTCTATGTTCAATGTGTGCCTATCAATGCCTGCATCGGTCAGCAATAGTCAGACTATTGCTAGGTGATTGTTTTAATCAACTTATTGGATTGTCTGTTTATGAAGATGTAATGGTAACGCTTTCTTTTAAAGCACATCAATAAACATGTAATAACATAATAGTAACATAGCAAGGCACACTATATTACTAGGCAACAAGAAAAACCTTTATTTGGTAATAACCAAAATTTAAGGTATATAGTTTCAAAGTAATTACCTGCATGTAGTTGTTACAATTATATGTTTCTACATAACAATGGAGGCTTTCGGTGGGTAATTACCATTAGGTTACCACATAACAGTTTCTATTAATGGCCACAACCTATCACCACATTTAAAAGTAAATTGTAACTAGTAATCAGGTAAGTAGAGCATCATAAAATGGAATCAAATTACATAAAAATAAGAATATAGTTAAGAAGATTGGCTTTCCGTCTTCTAGGTTTAGTTTTTTGTTATATGGCAATTAATAAACTGCATTTTACTAGATAATGACACATTAATTTATTGCTGTCGGTGAATTGGCTGAGTTACCTGGTAATAACAGTTTGAAATCTAAGAAGTCTGACTTTAACTTGTCTTCCTAAATTTTGAAGCACAGCATTAACGAGAATCTTCCATAGAGGTTTTCTTGTTGCGTACAGTAACTCTCTATGTTATTACCATGTTATTACATGGTTACCTTAAAAGAAAGCGTCGCCAATTAAATTTGAGGAAAATCAGATTTTTCTTAATTGTTGTGGGGAAAAATGATTGTTTTTATAAAGCATGTTTCAAAGCTTGAATTTCATTGCCCATTTCATTAAGGTCACCTCCCAGAGGGGATGACTATAGCTGTCAAAAGTAGTGTTTGTATTAGATTTTTAATTGCCCAGCTTTAAGTCAGAAATGTTTTACCCCTTTACTCATTAAAAACCAAAGTGTTACTTTAACACCTACAGAGTTGAATATAACTTTGTATCAGGTAACAGTTGGTCCAACTCTAAATTAGTGTAAAATTTGTTCAATAGCCAGTGTCAACTTTTCTTAGTCAATTTTGTGTCAATATCAGTAAGACGTCTCAGACACTGGTGGGTAATTGACACCATTTAGAGTAAAGGTTATACTAACTGCATGGCTGTGAAATTTTCAGCTGATTATTAACTTCAACACTTGAGCAAATTTATAGTCAGTATAGTTATAAAGAATCTATTTAGATTTCAGTTTCGATAAAAATATAAACTTACCTGCTCATCGAATCCCATTTGCATAAACTGCATGATCCACTGCTGGACGTCTGGTCTGCTGCGATCCCAAACATTTCTCTTTGTTCTGCTCAGCTTGGCCAGAAATTCTTGGGCCTTTGAAGAAGGGATGGCAACAGAAGAACTGGGTGGGACATGTTCAGCTTCTGCCGCTGCATGAACGAGTCAGACATGCAGCCATTTAAACATAAAGGGCTGGAAAAGGATCAGTTTGATCAATAAAGTTAGTTTGTGTTGTTTGTACTGTATTTACCGTTTCTTCTCACTAAGATCTTCTGCAGGTGGCTCTCACCGGATACATCTGCAAAGGAGAGTCATTAGGAAGATAGTTTAACAATCTTCACTTATGTGCATTGCTAATTATTTATACACCTTGACCTTTTCTACTCTGTTCTTAACTTAAACTAGGTAGTTATAACACATGTTTTATGTAAACTTGCATCTAGAGCGTTACATTAAGCGATGGCCATATATTTATAATTGTTCCTCTGCTGGAATGTAAAATTGACTGCGGTCTAAACTTTTTTGCCATCTCTCTTTTTTTTTTTTTTTTTCTCCAAGATTAAGCTTCACTTGTATTCTTCAAGGAAAAAACACAGCATGATACTGCCACCTCCATGCTTCACACCATGTTTAACCATCCATGTTGTAAATATATGCCACGATACACGATAAACTTTTAACTCAAATATCTATCCATCCTCTTATGCTTATCCCGGTTTGGGTCGATGGTGTAGCAGCTTTAGTAGGGAGGTTCAGATGTCCCTCCCCCCAACCACTTGGGCCGGCTCCTCCAGGGGGAATCCCAAGGAGCTCCCAGGCTAGCTGAGAAACATAGTCCCTCCACTGTGTCCTGGGTTTCCCGGTGGGACGTACCCAGAACACCTCACCAGGGAGGCGTCCAGGGTACATTCTAACCAGATGCCTAAGCCAGCTTAACTGGCTCCTCTCGATGTGGAGGAGCAGCGGCTCTACACTGAGTCCTCCCCAGATGACTGACCTCCTCACCTCTTTCTAAGAGTGAGCCCAGACACTACGGATAAGACTCATGGCTTCAGAGCCATGCGTTGAGGTAAGTCCGACTATGCCTAGCCAGAACCTCTGACCTTGTGCACAAGCTCAAGCTCCTGTCCCACCAGAGAGGTGACATTCTATGTTCCAAGAGCCAGCTTCTTCAGCCGAGGATTAGGGTGCCAAGTTCCTCAACCTCGACTGACACCCATCACACAATGCACCCGACCCCTTTGGTCCCTCCTACAGATGGTGAGCCCATTGGAAGGGGGACCCATGTTTACTCTTCGGGATGTGCCCAGGCTTCGTGTGTAAAAGCATGGCCACCAGGCGCTCACAAGCCTGCCCCACCTCGTGGCCTGGCTCCAGAGTCGGGCCCTTGTGACCCCTGTGTGACGACGGAACACTACATCCATTTATTATATTCATCATTAGGGGTCTTTGAACTGCTCTTTGTCTGGTCCCTCACCTAGGACCTGTCTGCCTTGGGTGGCCCTACTAGGAGCATAAAGCCCCTGACAGCATAGCTCTTAGGGTCACTGGGACACTCAAACCCCTCTACCACGATAAGGCGGCACCCCAGGAAGAGAACTTTAATATCAAACAGCATTTGGTTGGATATGAAAATAAAATAGAGCTTTTTAACAATTCTTGTTTCTCAGCAGAGGGAGCTTTCATTTACTGTAGTATGCATCAATTTAAAAATATGAATTTAAACAAACTTTGTCAGCACATATATGTCATCATGTCTCAAAACTATATCAAGAGGAGTAGTTTATTTATTTATTTATTTCACTGAAGCTAAATTTCTGATTGCTCTATTTGTCTTTTCTATGCTGAATTAGTTTTATAAGTCCAGGCTGATGATAACAGCAATCAAAACTTTTCTTCAAATTGAATAGATAGATAGATCTTATTGTATGTAGTTTCTTTAATATTCTGTTGAACTACAATATATTAGCCAAAAGGAATAGATCTTAAGTAGAAAGTTATGCTAGAAAGGTATTATGAAGATAATCCCATTTGCAAACTATTATATTAAATCAAACTTTTGTTACCGGTAGTTGATTTTCACTACTAAAAATGTATCGATTAGATATTTAGGCTGTTGCTTTACTCTGTAATCTGCCTGTCTTATTTGCCCTTTTTCCACAATTTGTCCTTCATTTGGAGAATGAATTTAGCCCTAATACCCCTACAAGGCAGAAGAGGGTAGAAATCACACCTCCAGTTGAGCAGTGAAGACAATTAGATTTTAGAAGCGATAAACATGATGAGCTCCAAGAATACTTGCCTGGAGAAAGTGACACTGATGGAGAGAGAAGGGCAGGGAGGGTGATAATACAGTGACAGATATCTGACAGGAAACTCTTAAAGCATTCCTCTTACCAAGCCTTTACATTTAAAATGGCATGAATTTTTAAGCTGCTGCATATTTTATATGAAATAAAAGCTTATTCTACTCACACATGTTGATACAACAAACAATGACATTTCTTTATTTTCCATCTATTTACTATGTCGAGATGTAAAAACATTTCTTTCTGCTTTTCAGAAAAATTAATAAACCAAATCAGAAAAGTCCCTCATTTACAGAAGGAACCAGATAAACATGTAAAAAGACAATTGATTCAGAAATCAGACAGATAAAACAAAAATATCTGTATTAGCTAAATACTAATATAATTATAGAGATCTTTTTCTAGAAAATGTGTTTTTACCACTTCCTAAAAATTCAGAGGTTTATATTCTATTATATTACTGTCTTTTTAAACATTTGCAATGCAGATCAAGGTATTGTTTCAAAATGTTTAAGCTAAAGGGCCCTTTAGTTAATTATCAGATTCATGAGGGTGTGAGGAAGCACCATGAAAGGTTTCATCCTTAACTTTATCTTATCTTTAGGAAGAGGCGAAAGTAGATTTATATCTTGCTGGTAAAAGAAAAGAAATTATTGGCCAATATTGTTTTCTTACATGCAACTAATAAGCAAAGGTTAGATTTTTTTCAGGTTTAGACTGATATAACCTCTTTAACAACTAAATTAAAGTTTTGTTATTTCATATTTTGAACTGTTTGCTTTTCAATTTTATTTGTTCAAGAAAAATAATATTCAGGGATGACTAATATTTGATGATTAATTTATGAAAAGGCTTCATCTTCAGGTGTTTTTTTTTATAGTTACATTATTTTTCAATCAATTTTGTAAATATTTAATGATAAATGCCTTGTCACAATTTATTCACACTCTTTAGCATAGTAGATGGAAAAGCCTTTATTGGCCTTGCCGCATTGAAACTTAACATATAGTGATTTTTTTTTTTAAGCTTTAATTGGGATGATGGTACATCTACACAACTCTTTGTTGAAAGAAAGATATGGAAAAGGTTAGCAGTTATCTTTACTCCTGATAAAAAAAAAAAAAAATTAACTTATGTATATAACAGTATCAATTCAATTCCGTTTATTTCTATAGCGCCAATTCACATCTCATGTCATCTCAAGCCACTTTACAGTTCAACTAGATCATAGAGTCAAATTGATTCAAAGTTTTCTATCTAAGGAAAACCAGCTGATTGCATTGACTCATTGACTCTAATGCAATTCCTCACACTAAGCACGCTTTTAGCGACAGTGGAGAGGAAAAACTCCCTTTTAACAGGAAGAAACCTCCAGCTACCTCCTTTGAATTAACTCACTCAGGCCTGATAACAAATGACACAAACCCCTTCCCCAGACTCTCTTATAATTCCATAACAATAAAGAACTTACATAAGAAAATATGTAAAGTAAAATGTTGAGATATTCAAAGGAAACAACAATTTTAAAGTGGTACAAGGAGACATTGTTACTCAGCCACATATAATGAAGTTGTGAGGGCAGAGACAGCTGAGCGCTCAGATGAGTGAGAGTGTGAAAAGGCAGACATGGGGCTAAGCGCTGGAAAAGATGAGTGAATAATGAATACACAGCAAAACAGTGCAGCATCTCAGAGGAACACGTCTTACAAGTGAGTAAATAGCTTAATAATGCTGCAAGATGGCTTCATTTTGACAAATTATCTTCTCTGGGAGGAAGTTTCAATCTACTAGACAAGCTCTCCACCATTTCGCTCCTACTCTGCTTTTTTTTGTTTTGGCAGGGAGGGGTTAGGTGATGAGTGAGGGTTACCTACACGGACGTAAATGAAAGCACTGCTAGCCTGGCTTTTAAACATAATACTGGAGAATCACAGAGATGGAACCCTATATTTCATCTAGAACAACACATTTAATTCTTAATGTTGTTGTTTTTTCTGTTCATTCTATTTAAAATAATTAATTTTTTCTTATTACTATTTTATCTGTTAGTGAGCCTGGAGATTGGGGCTCTTTTTAGAAAGGGGACTTCACTTGCATTGAATTATGTAGAGTCTCAGCGCTGATTCAGTGCCACTGACTCTGCCTAATTTGAAAAAAGAGCAAAAAAAAACAAATTCTAATCCCATCTCATCTGCAAAGGATTCTTTAATAGCAGGTTCACTGCTGTTATTAAAGGACTGAAGTAAGGTGTGAATACTTTTAGGGTACGTATTTCTTTTTCTTTGGGGGCTTCTATATAAAAAGACCTCTTCGTATCAATTGACCAAACAGTTGAAATATGGGGCAGACACATGTTCCTGTTGTCAAAATGTATTTTAAGATATTTGATTTGATGTTAAATACCTCCTTGGCCATAGAGCCAAGAACAAAACTTAACAGCTGCTCATAGTCCTGCTCCCGTTGGCTGAGAAACCTAAACTTTCCTGAAGACTAGAATCCCCTCATCTTCCTCAGAACAGAGATAAAAAAAAAACAAGGTACCAGATCTGGCAGTGGCAGGGAAAAGTGTTTTCAGCTATGCAGGTATAGTACTTTTTATAGTTTGGTTCCTTCACAGTTCTTAACCCCATTTTGTTATTCCTTTAAGGAATAACCATCACATTAAGTTTCAATTACCGTATTTTCACGACCATAAGGCGCACCGGACTAAAAGGCGCACTCTCAGTTATGTGTCCCATTTCTGTATTTAACACACACATAAGGCGCACCGGACTATAGGGCGCGTTTTTTATATACAGGTACATGTCCTCTCAGGTGGATTTTCCCACTTAAAAACATATTAAAACTACTTTATTCCCATTGATC